AAAAAAAAAAAAAAAAAAAACATCTTAAACTTTCTTCGTTAATTCGTCGCAATTAATTTTTACAAAGGAGAGATATTAAAAGATTCTTTCTCAAGAAATATCAAATACACTTTTTTAAAGAATAAAGATGTAACAACCGTGAAGAGTTCAGAGATTTATTGCCATTTTCGTGACTAATAATCCTGAAATGGTATGCTGAATGCAAGAATTCAATCCAAATGACTTTCAAAAGGAATCAGTTTCCCTATTGTGATTGTAGATTATAATTGCAGTAGGTGGAGGCGGCCAAGAACAAGCGGATCTTCTTCCAAAGATAGAGAGCCGTGGAAAGGGGCAAATGACGGTAAACATTTAATTACGTACTTAAATATTGGAAATAATTCTTCGAGCGATGTGTGAGTGTCGTGTCACGAATCTTAATACGAGTGGAAAGTCCAAAGAACTGAACTTTAAAATTCTATTCAGATCTATGATTACGACTCGAGTATTATTAAATGAAATTAAATAAATTCCTACGTACTTGCCTGAAGAACAATACAACAAGTAACGTGTCTGTTAAATTACATAAAAATAAATTGTACAAAAAATTTTGTCCTTGTTGCAGGTGGAAGTAACACATGGAGAAGAAAAGCAAATAATAGCTCTTCCAGCTGAAAGGTTGGATCGTTCGAAAAAATATTACGTAACGTTCACTGTACGAGGAGAAGCGCAACAAGAAACTGAGAAGCCGAAATCGTCGATCGGTATACAAAGGAATGCCAAAAGCGTTTAGAAAGTCTTCAATTGTTAACTATATACATATCGAACCACACCATCTTGGCGACTTTGGCTACCGTCTTTTCTATTCGAAGCAATATCGAAAACGTTTCCTATACTTTTTTTACATAATCATCTATTCTACCAATCTTCGTACACGCAGCTGTTTCACATTGGATTTTCTACGACTGTATAAATTGTAGCTCCACGACGAAACATTGATTCTCAATTCTCGTGGTAACGATTGTATTTGACAAGCATTCAAACAACAAAACTGCCAGAGAAGAAAAAAACCAAGGTTCATGTATATCCAGAAAATC